TCACCCTGAATTGTAATCTGTTTCATTAATTATTATTATTTTTTTTTTACAAATTGCTGCTTAATGTAACAGTTTTAATCATTAAATACTTTTAAAACTACTCCACACATGATTCCTGTGTGTTTTAGTATTTCAACATTTAGTTGTCAGTACCTTTGTCTCACACTCAGTAACCAGCCTAACCCAAAATCCTCAAATCCTTTTTTTTTTGATAGAATAAAGCTATCCCACTTGTGAAAGAATATTACAAATACTAGACATTGCAATACAAATAATATATATATTGCATAAATATGCAAACTATATACTGTAAATACATAAACATCAGTTAATGGTTAACTTCTTTCTTGGAACTAGTTTGAATTGACAGGCTATTATAGGCTTGAAATTGAATTCCCTCTAAATTTGTTATGGACCATAGGGACTGTATGGTTAGTGAAAATGATCAAAATATGATTTCATCTAGTAAAAGTTAACTTCACATGGTAATTTGTTTATTTTAACAACAACAAAGGGTAAAGAATGTTACCGATTACAAATGGAATGTTATATATTTTTTTTCTTTTTTTTGCCTACCTATGAATTAAGAGGCATTGCTCACTCTTACTTTCTAATTACATGTACAGTCAATGCATCAGATGAAAGCTTATCTTCCACTCTTTTGAACGGTATGCTCAGTTTGTTTCTAGCATAAAGTATCAGGGAGATATGGCTCAGGATTCATGAATATAATCAAACCGTTTTAGCATGTTTGGGTGATTCCGGGGAGTTAAAGCAGAATTTGAGGTAGCATTGTTTTGACCCTAATTACAAGTTTCCAGCAGCTTGTTCACCGGGTTGTCCACCCAGGTTGTGATCCTCAGACATCGTAGATTTCATTTTTATATGACAACCTTTTACAGCAGCCCATGTCTGATTTCCTAAAAAACAGGTGTTTTGCCCCCTGGGTATTATCATTTTATATAATTCAAGGAAGAGCAGTCCTAGACATTTTAAAAGTAAGTTGCCCCTATTTTTTTGTCAAGGCTAATTGTCATTGTTCCAGAAATGCCATACCTCTCAGTAACGCATGGGTGTTGGTTTTTCATTTTCCTTACAGACACAGAACAAGTAGAGTCCCAGGAGACCCTGAGACTAGTCAATTAAATGCAACTGCCATCTTTTAGACTAGCTTTGCTTCTCTTGACATTATTTGAGAAAGACGACATTTTGCATTACATTTAGATGTTATTAGCAAATTTATCAGCGGCTAGGTTTGCATTTAAGCAAACATGTTAGGCACCTGATATACGACATCTGTGATTGAGCACTAAGTGGCTTTGTTAAATCATTACCATATGAGTCATCTCTTATAGAGACTGCTTTCCGTCTTTTTTTTTTAAATTCCAATTCAACATCAAAGGGGGAAATAATGCCATAATCAAGCCGAGAACAGATCAAATAAACCAGACTCGGCTTTGGGATCTTGTGCATAAGTGTGTGTGCCTGAGTGGGGCTGTTTATGAGCAGAAGCAGACTCTGATCAGCCTCCATATGGAGCACTTCATCATAATCAGATTATATGATGTGGTGTCTTTCTTTGAAAGGAGTAAACTGTTTGCTTCTCCACTTCTCCAATCTATCACTTCTTCTGCTTGTTACACTTAAACAAGACATTTCCATGCTAAACCTGCTGATGCTTTCTGTATTTTTAAAATATGCATTTAAAAAATCAGATCTGTATAGACAGATCTGCTGACCTCATCACCTCATTGTGACCTTCATTAAATGTGTAGTAAACGATTTTTGGGAAACACTGTTGAAAGTGGATCAGACCGATGATCTCAATAAACGTATAGCCAATCAGCAGTAGGGGATGTGTGCACTCATGATGGGGGAGGAGAGAGAGAGGGCAAAATGGAGATTTGAAGAAAGACTGTAGAAAGAGAGATGACTGGGAGACATTACAAAAGAGTCAAGGGGATATCACTGGAATAAGAAGGGTTGTGATCAGGCAAGAGCTTTAGGACACACGTACTTTTAGAGAGATTGACAGATGTTCAGGTTGAGTTGTTTCTGCTCCATACAGTACGTGAGTTACATTGGTTTTGAGTGTGCATTGCTGGCGACTCGTATACTGTATGTTCATTTTTGTTCTTCTTTGTCGTTCGTCATCTTCGCTCAATTTTTTGTTGATATTTTTTTACTTCGCTTCTGCTATGATAGAGACATCCACTCTTGCATTGCCTGTTTCTTCATGCATTTTGGGGGTGAAGCAATAAATGAAGGTGTGTGTTTGTTTGGGATGATTTTTCACATATCAACAGAATTCAACAAAGATTCTCAGAAATCACTTCAGATTCAAGATTCCTTAAAAAACAATTGCTGACTGTTTCTTCTCTAGCAGAACTGCCAGATTACCAGGCAAGCTTTTGCTCTTTTCTAATCTAAGTCCTGTGTGTTTGGATAGCTGTCAATGGAACTAATGGTGGCAAATCATTTACACTTGTATAGAAAAGTTAAGAGCAGTTCTGTTCACTCATGCTAATGGTTTCAGCCTGAGTTTGAGCATTTGCTTCAAGTTTTTTAGCCAGTCATTTACACTCAAAATGTGTGTGTAGTGAGGTAGAGAGAAAAGAGTTTGTAAAGGCATACAAAAAGTATGACTCTTGATTGACACTCCTTTACAGGGTCCAAAAAGACCCACTTTGGCGAGCAAACTGTTTTTGGTTGCGAGTTGAGTGTCTCACTTTAGTCCATCGTCATCTCTGACATGATTTTGTCTCTTCTTTTTTTTCTGTTTTGTGAAGGATGGCAACCAACATTAAGGTGCCACCTACCATGCTGGCGTGTCTGGATTATTCACGATATTATGTCATGGGTAGTATTAACATGATATCAATCTTTGATTTTTAAATATCATGATTATTGTCAATATCAGAATATTGTGAAAACTTTCATTTGAACACAACAAGGTGACTATCACACAAAGACAAACTCTTATTACAATTTTTTTTTTTTTTTCCAGTAAAGATTGAATCCAGTTTCCTACTGGTCCACTGCTGTTTTAATCACATGCTTTCCTTGGCTTGCCATCATAAGTGCCTGTCGAGTTAAAGGTTTAATACAAAATCTCAGGATGTCTGCTGACTTCAAGAGCTTTTGGCTCCTCACAGTAGCTGTCAGATATTTTTTAGTAGCAGTCAGGGACTTCAGGTTCCCTGTCAGAAATGGCAGTAACTTGCTGCTCCAGTAGAGCCGTGTGCCTAGAAGATTCTGACACGCTCAATAGCCATTTAAGAGGATGGAGTTGAAGCCTAATGTGAGAATGATAGGATGAAGATGGGCGGTGTCATTGTCAGATCAGAAGGTGCAGGAAGTGTGATAGACTAAGGCAATGTGATCATAGCCTTTTACGTGTGCTCGGAGTCTTGCATTGATTTGTATGTAACATCAGAGATGGAAATCGTTAAAAGCCACCAAGGTGTCTGGTGCAATCAATATGAATTCACATGGCTGCATACAGGCCCAAAGAGGAGAGATGTGAATAAAAATGAAAGCTCAAATAATAGTAATCATAATATATTATTTAATGAATGAAAAAAAATACCATTATTAAACAAACTAAACTTATTATTAAACATGATACATAAGAATTTTCACCGGAAAATGACATCTGAACTAGTAAGAAACATCCACGTTTGTTCTTGTTCTTACATTGCAGTAAATCATGGTGATTAAATCGAACAATCGCTTATTAATTATCATATCACGTAAAACCATGCAAATTATACTTATTATACTTATTATACTCAAAGACATGCTCGAATCTCCCGCGGAAATCCACCAGTACCACTGGAATTAAAAGCATTATTAAAAGCGTACCGCTTTGAATCACGCTACAGCAAGAAGATAGTTTTGAACACTGGCTGATTATGTATTTTCTCAAACATGTATTTTGGATAATTCTTAGTCCAAAAAAAGCTACGGACTGCAGCTTTAAACTGTCTTAAGTGAAATGATGCATCATATTGGCTCTTATTCAGTGGGCAGAGCTGTTGCTTGATTTGCTATGCTGAAAACCCAGCTGGTGTGGGTGTCTCTCTGTGTGTGTGTGTGTGTGTGTGTGTGTGTGTGTGGCTGTGCTGTTTACTGTTCCAAAGCATAAGAGTATGAATAGAAGTGAATGAAATATCATGTATGTCTATTTAATCCTCATCTTTCACAATGACAATGCAGCTTGAAGTTAAAGGCAATCCTTGGTCATGTTTCCATGTAAAACTATTAGCTTAAACATGCTGCCACTTTTGAGCCAAATATAATGCTTTGATGTTAACAAATCAATGTATGCTTGCTATCATTAACCAAACTGCTTACAACTAGTGATTTTACGCTCAAAAATCAATATTTTACTCTTAAAAATAAAGGTTCCATAAATTGCAGTGATGTCAGAAGAACACCATTTTGGTTTGGTTTTCATCTGGTTCCCCAAAGAAACAAAAACAACATTTTTTAAAAGAACCATTTTTGCCTTTGTGTGAAGAACATTTTAATAATGTATAGAACCTTTTTTCACTATAAAGAATATTTTGGATTGGAACATTTCCATGGATGTTAAAGGTTCTTCCTGGAACCACAGATGCCAATAAAGAACCTTTATTTTTAAGAGTGATTTTTTTTTTTTTTTAAGTTATTATTGATAGATTTTATTTTATTTTTTTATTTCAAGTTTAGCTTAGTGAGTTTAACTCAGTGTCCAATTTAAAAAAAACTAGTTTGTATAAATGCAATATTACCCCAGCATTAGTTCACAACAAAAAAAAACATTGAAAAAATTGTTTTGATATTATTTTAGTATTATAGATGCCAGTGTTAGCACTTTCTTAATTTAACCATATAAACACAAGTCACTGATTTTATACCTTGTCTACGTTTTTGTTTTTTGAGCGGAATTTCTCTTTGTGCTGCTTTAGCCACACTAAAGTTTGCTTGCCACTAACCCGTAGCTATCCGCCGCACAGGTGACTGACCAGCTTCTGTGGGATTTGATGTCACCTTTAGATCGGTTCAATTGAAGATGGAAACACTGGAGTCAGAGCTGACGTGTCCAATCTGCCTGGAATTGTTTGAGGACCCCCTCCTGCTGCCCTGCGCCCACAGCCTGTGCTTCAACTGCGCCCACCGCATCCTGGTCTCGCACTGCTCCAGCACCAAGCCTCTCGAGTCCATCTCCGCCTTCCAGTGCCCCACCTGCCGTTACGTCATCACGCTCAATCAGCGCGGCCTGGAGGGCCTAAAGCGCAATGTGACGCTGCAGAACATCATCGACCGCTTCCAGAAGGCCTCCGTCAGCGGGCCCAACTCCCCCAACGAGAGTCGCCGGCCTCGGCCCTACAGCGCCACGCTCGGCGGGAGCGCGAGGGGCAGCCCCGCCAGCAGCGCCATGTCCCTAGAGCGCGTCGGGTGCCAGTTCTGCGATCAGGAGCCCCCACGGGAGGCGGTCAAGACGTGCGTGACGTGCGAGGTATCGTACTGCGACCGCTGCCTGCGGGCCACGCACCCCAATAAGAAGCCCTTCACCAGCCATCGTCTGGTGGAGCCGGTGGCGGACGCTCAGCTGCGAGGGCTGGCCTGCTTGGAGCATGAGAACGAGAAGGTGAACATGTACTGCGTGGTGGACGACCAGCTGATTTGCGCTCTCTGCAAGCTGGTGGGACGGCATCGCGAGCATCAGGTCACCTCGCTTAGTGATCGCTTCGACAAGCTTAAGGTGAGTCCAGAACTTGATTCTTAAAGCAAGACACCCTAGGTGAAATGGACCAAAAATGTAACTGATAGATATCAATATACTGATCATGCAGGGAAGTCACCTGTAGGAGAAAAATAAAACGAGCCACAAATCATGGACAATTCAATTCCTCCCCATAGTTCATAAACCATACATACAGATTCTTGAATTGTTCCCTTGGTTTAACAATCCCATCCCTAGAAATCTTTAGTCTACCAACACAAGAATAGAACCAGCTCACGGTTCTGTTATCAAATCTTTTTGTATATTGTATATTGTTTTATTGTGTATAATTGAGGTTGAACACATCAGACTGTCTTAACTGCATGATTAAATTATATGCTATAATTTGATAACATAAGAATCATGTGTGTCAACTGTGGTAACTGATTTCAATAGCTAACGGATTATAAATTTAGGAGTATGGACTGAAAAATTGAAAGTACATTATTTTTTTCCTTAAGTGCCTTGCCTTAAGCTGCTGTTTCTATAATGAAGTGCTACTAAGTGCTACTAATCTATATGAGCAATAGATAGTGTTCTTGTTGACTGATTTTAAGCGAAATAGTTTTTGTAAAATCTTTGTTGTCCTGCATCATGTACCATCCTTTATGCAATCCCTGTTTCGGTAACACTTTATAATAACTACACGCTATTAATCATTTGTTAAGCATGAGTAAACCGTTTATTCATCATTTATAAAGCATCAATAGACATTAATAAGCAGTTTATAAATACAGCTATAAATGTTTTTTTTCTTGATTTATAAGCATATCTATAATGCGTTTAATTATTGTGTTTTCATGCTTTGTTAATGATCAATTAATAATTTCTAAATGAAGTATAGCGTTATTTACAAACCAGTAATTTAAGAGTTGTAAGTCATTCATAATATCACTTAGAAAGTGTAAGTAAATGTAGTAGTAAAGCATTTAGTAGTGGTTAGTTAACTATTTTGTGAGCTCATCTAAAGTGAGGACTATTCATGCCTTGTAAAGCATTTATAAAGGAGATTTAAAGGCGCATCAATCTTCTAAACAGTAAACGGTAAAATGTAACAAACACAACACAGTGATACAAAACATAGAAATATTTAACAGCCCGCATGAATAGTCCTCACTTTAAATCACAAACCTAGTTAACTGACCACTACTAAATGCATTATAACTACCCAAATGCATGTTAATAAAGCATTTATTAACACACTAAGTAACCATCACTATATGTCTCAATAATATGAATGTACAAGTTTATTAATTTATTAGTAAGTTTATTAAGTTTATTAGTAATATGTATGAATGTGAAAGTTTATTAATCATTTACTTACATGCTCTAAGTAATCTTATGAACCACTGAAAACTATAAAAAAAATGCAATTCTTCATTTAGAAATGATAAATTGATCATTACGAAAGGATGAAAATACAATTATTAAATCATAAATCATAGATATGCTTTCAAATCAAGAAGAAAGCCTTTAAAGCTGTTTTATAAACTGCTCATTAATGTCTATTAATGCTTTATGAATGATGAAGTAACTTTTTAGTCATGCTTAACTAATGGTTGTTAGCGTGTTATTATAAAGTGTCATCATTGTTTTTTTGTTTGTTTTTTCATTAGATAGCTAATTTCATTTCATTAGCATCAAGCTAACCCATTCTATGCAATATCTGTCAGCCTTCAAAGTGGAGTGATTCATGCATAGTACCAGCTAGAACTGCCCAGCTGTTCCTTTGAGCAGGACTCATTATCATATTAGATGAGTTTGCAGTCCCTAAAGCCATTCTCTGTTCGGCACTGAAACGCAATGCTGACCTTCTACAAAGAGCCTGATTGCTGAATCAGGGCTAAAATACAGAAGCTCACACAGAGCCACAGAGTTCCCAACCTGTGAATACAGTCGCGCCCCGTCAGTATAATCATTCACAGCTGCAATAGGCCAGAATTACATGATGTGTGCCTTGTTTTTTCAATGCCATCATAACTTCAGAGCAGTTGGTTTCCTCTAGATCAGCCTCCCATTTCCTCTATTATCCCTGCGAGGGTCAAGTTACAAGAGAAGAGCAGGTTAAGGTCACTTTTGCTATGTGTATTGAGTTCTCATGGGGTGGGTTTGTAAATATGAGCCCACATAAACGCCTTTACACCATCTCAATCTCGCTCCCATGAATAGGCCGCCATTGACTTCTGCATCAGCATTATAATAGCAGGCATAGAGGGCACATGTGATCTCCCTGTGATCTCATATCCCAGTTGACCTCTTTGTTCACACCAGCTCACACAAAGGGAATTCTGATCATTGACACATGCTCGGCCAATCTGGTTTTTGAAGAAAACGAACGAGGCTCTGCTGAAGCTACCTCGATTGTGATTGTGAAAGTTGATAGCTGAGAAAGTTGCTCTTCTTTTGTTCCTATGTCTTCTTGCAGGGAAACAGTAAAGAGGCTGGCAGTATGCAAAGGTAACAGCATCCAGATCGACATTTAATTTCCTCTAGGAATCCCGGTGGACTGAGAGGATTACCTCGGTTTGAATTACTCATTGGAATGCTGTCTCCATAATTACCTCTTGCGCTGTAGGTGTACACAATCCGCACGGTTCCTACCTGTAATGGTCTTGACGTTTTAAAAGTTGTGCTATGTGTAAAATTAGATGCCAGGTCTGAAATGCACTTTTAATGCAAAACGTCTGGATTGGGTTTTGTATCTACATTGCAGAAGCTTATTCGAATGTTCCCCTGCTGAAGCTTTGAACCTGTCTAACTTTGAACTTCCAATCCACAACCTGAGAAAGAGAGAGAGAGAGAGAGAGTAAAGACGCCGTCACGGCTCAGAGCTTCAAACTTTTAATCTTTTTCCGGCTCAAGTAAAATGAGAAATCCTTGTTTGTACGTAAGCTTCACGGTGGATGATGATGATGATGATGATGATTCAAACAGTTCCACACGTTTAAATGAGCTCTCCCGTTTCCTAGTCAACATTTGCGTTGTGTTCGTGATTTATCCCGATGAATGTTTTGTGCACATTCATGATTCCCTGCTTGTAAATCAATGTCCTTTTAACGGTGTGATCACAGCTTCATGCTAGGAAAGAGTTATTTTTCTGTGGCAACGAAAATATCCTTTATAAGAGTTGATAGACGATCAATATTGAGTGTTCGCTGGACGAACAGATTAATTGATTTTAATGTTAATTCAGCTACATCAAGTTAATTCTTTTAACTGATCCAAATATTTCTATTTAATAATTGCAAGTTATAATTAATTATTTATATTTCCCTTTGAGCTAATTTGCTACATGCTCGTGCCCTAAAAAAAATGATTTTGTCTGTAGGGGCTGTTACACAACACTGTTTTCAACTAAAAACATAAAACTGTTTATGCATTTTGGCCATTCATTTACGTACACCGCAAGGGCGTTTTGGGTGCCTGAAAACGTAAACTTTTGAAAACGGTCTGTTTAAAAAACAAAAAACACGAATCTCTGAAGACGATGCCATCATGCACTTGAGTTTTATGTGTTCAGTCTATAGTGTTTCCTCGCTATCTAATGGCTTGGCAGAATAATATAGCGTTTTTAGTCTTTTTCAGGTTTTGACAATGATGTCTGTATGCAGAGAACTCAAAGGGATAACTGATCCATTTTAAGCATATTGTTGTTGTGTAAATGTACTCTAATAATACGTGGTTTTGGTAACATAAGTGGTTTTGGTAAATAATTAATTATTTAATTAAAAGAAATTAAGTGATTTAATTTGAGCTCCTGCACCTTGTGTTTAGGGGTGACATTGATTTTGAATAATACAGGCCTGAAAATAAAATAGGTAGTTTTTATATCATTAAAGAAACATCATGGAGATTAGTGTTGCTAATGGTACCAAAATTCCAATAGTCTTTCCCAATACCATTCAAAAAAATTAGCTATATGACATAAAAATTTCGACCCCAGAGCCAAAACTTTTAAATTAAGTACTTGCTGATCACTGTCAGTCATCACAGTTTCTGATTCAATTGTGCATTTAAATTCGGATGTCAACCCAGAAATGTTTCTTGAGCACCAAATCAGGATCTAAAGGATCATGTGACACTGAAGACTGGAGTTATGATGTAATAATGGAGTAATGATACATTTTAAAATATATACAAATAGTTATTTTAAATTAAATTATAATAATATTTCACAATGTTTATCATTTTACTGTATTTTACTGTATATAAATGTAGCCTTGACGACCAGACTTTAAAGAGAAAAAAAAACATCAAATAATGTTATAACTCCAAACTTTTCAAAGGTAGTGTATAAAAATATGTTTGATAATTGCGTTTTCAGTGTTGATCCTCTCATGCTTTGTTACAGGCAGCTAATTGATTGAAGAGCAGGTACTTCAGTCATGGCGTTCAACTTTGTGTGCACTACTTCAAGGAGCTAATGAGCTGCCATTCATTTATAACCTCATCAACACCTCTTCACACAGTCTCCACTTCTAAACAGCAGTAGAAATGAGCCAAGACAAATATTATGTTTAGGCGTGCCCTGTCCACTGCACTCAGCATGTGCCTTCCATCCTTCTATTGATCTCACCCGTCTCCTGCGTTTGAACGTGACTTACATGAGTAACACTGGATGGTGGAGCCTTTAAAGCATGACAGCAGTCTCACAAACACTCAGGGATTAGGTTTTACAGAGCCAAAACACAAAATATGAAGAAAAAAAAGTGGCGATTAAAGGCTTAATTTCTATTTCGGAAAAGTTACAAGTCGCAGCAGTCAGCTTTGATTAAAGTTCCACCCGGTTTGGCGTTTGGGCCTCTTACTCTAAGCTCCTTAGGGAAGCCGTCTATCTTCTCGCAGATATATGAGCCCAGCTCAACAGACACCAGCTCGCCCAATTCTTCTGCATTCAGTGAGCCATCAGTAGGCCTCCAGGGTCATGACAGTTTTGAAAGCCAAAAGACCAAGTCAGCTGAAAAGGTGCTTGATATGAC